CACACACACACACACACACACACACACACACACACAGGCCTCTGGGGGATGAAGCCCAGTTCAGTGGTGCTCATCCTTCTTCCCCCCCCCCATGTGCTCTCTCATCCCTCGTTTCCTCAGGGATTTCCTGACCCTGTCATTCCTTCAACTCCTCTCTCCACCTCCCCATCAGGATACTAAATTCTTTTATTTTCACCCCTCGTTCTTCCTGGTCTTTCACAATCGATCCTTCCCTCAATCATTTTCCATGCTGTCTTTTCTGCTCCTTCCTCCAGGAGACCACCACCATCACCTTTACTTTTACTGGTGTGGCTTTTCTGTTCTTGAACGGCTGCCTCATAACAGCTTCTTGCCCTCTGACGCTTCATCCTCATCACCTTCATAGAATAGAGAAATTCAATATGAATTGCTGTCATTATTGCAAGGACAGTGTGAGGGAGAGGGAATAGGAGCTAGAGAGACGGAAAGAGATAAATGGACTAGAAAGGAAGAAAAAAAGAGGTGGGAGGTGGAAAGGATAAAATCTATATTCACTCCCTCTAACGTGCCAACGATAACCACAGAGGCCAAGCTCCTCTTTTCAAAGCCGTCTAAACGAGGGCACGACTAAAAGCCCTGAGACCCTTTCAGCCGGGCCTCACCATAGCGAGCCTGTCAATACAGAATGGCCACAGGCTCTGAGAGGATAAAAAAATAAAAACATAACAAAAAGGGAAACACGCACACACACATATACACACACCCTGAGGCTGAGTGTGAGTCTGACATACCGATTCTATATTCTCCTGTCTCAGCAGCAGCATGTGTGTATCCAGTAAACATCCATCAAGATTACTTAATTACCTGAGTTTGAAATAGAAGATATGCAGCAATACAGAGCAGTTCATTCCTGAAATTACACACAGACAGAAAATGGGTTTAAACTGAAACTGATGACGGGAACAGGGACGGAGGAAAAGGAAGAGACTCAAGGAGATTACAGCAACAGATCCTGTCTCTCCTTAGCTTTGTGGTTTTAGAATAACTGCTAGTCTGCTGCAAAAATGCGACCTGATGTGAAAATACCATATGTTTTATATCATGGATCAGTATTGCTTCTCTTTTTAATTTAAGTCATCAATCGTAAAATACCTTTCCAACACTGTCCAGCTGCAGATATGCTCATGATAAGTGGTGCATTAGTAGTGTCCTGACTGTTTGAAACATTTCTTTTCATTGCACCTTGGTTGAATCAGCTTGACAATGTGAAAAAAAAAAAAAAATTGAATTCCTGTGATCGCAATATAAGACAAACTGAGTGATGAACAAAAACTGCCTCCGTTGTTACAGTTATCACACTAATTACCATCAATGGTCTAAAAACTCAATCATGCATGGTCAGACGCTGTTAATTACGGTAATTCAACAGCAAGTCAATAATATTTCTACATATCACCATTCAAAACATTGCTATTGATTTTTTTCCAAGCACAAATGACAATGAATCATAGAAAACACAGCATAGCCATTCAATTTAAAAGGGAATTGCACAAATAAAGGTCAGTTCACTCTTCATTTGGGAATATGAGAAAATATAAGCCCTGATGATGTCATTGAAAATTGTGCAGATTTCCATTGTTCTTTTACAAGTCCACTATAATAAAAAGAAATAAATGAAAGTGTTAGTATTCCTTAAAAATCTTTAATTGCTGCACTGCCACTTTAAGATCCCAGTCACTCTGACTCTGACACTACAGCTAAATGACAGCTTTGTTGTAGATGTTTGATGTTTCATGCACGATACCCATATTAAGTTGAGAGGAGGTAAGAGTACTGTAATACAAAACTGAACAGCAAAATCAAATATACAAAGTAAATGTAAATGTATTTTAAAAAGATATGTACAATATGAAGATATGTTGACTGTGTTACCGATAGGGCAGTAGATGTGCAAGTGGTGGGTGGTGTTTAATGTATGACAATATATAGAAATCATGCTCCGGCTCTGTTTTGAATTTATTTATTCAAACAGCATTTTAACACAGTGAATACACCAGCTTGTGTGCTTTGCAGTATAAC